AAGCATCATGCCTCACCAGTCACACCTCCACATCCCACTGCTGATGCAGCGGAAATTCGCCAGCACAGCGTGGATGGCATGCCGGTCTGTAAGCATTGTAGTAAGGACTATATCACCTGGTTCAACCTCAAACGACACATACAGCATGGGCATTGTACCAGACGTTGGCAGACTGCGCTCGCCTCTCAGCAGCCCCCAGCTCCTACACTCGCCTTGGTAGGCCAAAGCCCTGCGCAGTCGATGCTCGAGGTGCCACGGGCTGCTGCAGACCCTCTAGCGGATGATCCTCCCGCCACGGCCCCCGCCCCGGGTGCGCCGACGCCGGCAGCAGTTCCCCCTCCCAGCGGTTCTCTTCTCAGTGCGCTGATTCCCACTTCCCCTACCCAATGGCTGCATTTTGCCAGACGCCCCGAGGTGCAGACAACGCTGCGCCAGTTTTGTGCGACGTGCGGCCAATGGCTGGTGTCAGTGAAGAGCATTAAGCTGCACTATAGACATGTTCATACCGATATCTACCATCGATTCTGCCAGGCCGCTGCTGATGACTGTAAAAAAGTGGGTCACCTTATCTCACCATGTGTCTACTGTGGAGCACATGTCACCCGTACGGATCAGCACTCTAGTACGTGCCCTGTGCTCTGGCAAGCGCGTGTTTGTTGTCTGGTACAGGCAGACCTTGCATCCAAAAGCATCGCCGAGCCGGCACCTGCCCCCAACTCAGCCCCATCCTGCCATGGAGCACGTGCCCATGCAGATGGACTTGGACGAGGAGGAGAAGGAGTGCTTCGGGAATCTCCTAGGGAAGCGAGCCCTTGCGCTGGGAGTGGAGTCCCCGAGCAAGTATCCCCACCCGGGTGGAAAAGGGGCCCCACCACAGGGAGGCAGCAGACCGCGACCCCCCCCACCACATCGTGGTTCCCGCCAAGCGGCCCCCTCCCAGGGGAGCCGGACAAAAGAGGAACACCGAGGAAAATCAGGGACTTCTTCGGACCAGCTGCTGCACAAGGTGGCCAAGGCGCTCATCGTCCAGTCGGATTATCTGTCACGCCTACAAAGCGATCACACGGTCATCTTTACGTTTCGGAATGGCGACGGCCCTCAGCTGATGGTGCCGCTACTCCACGAGGTGGCGGCCAACTGGCGCGACCAACGCAGCAAAGGCAAAGTCACCAAATCTCTCAAGCAGACTCTGCTCCAGTACGTGACGGCGGAAATCATCACCAGAGTTACCACGTTCGCAGACGACCCGAGTGCCCAGGCCAAAGCGCAGGAAATGGGTTGGGTAACCAGCGACTTGGAGTACAACTACCTGGACTGGAACGCCGAGGAACGGAAGCTCGTCCCTCGACAGGAGGCGACGCTGACGCAAGATCAGATCCTGGCAGACGCTCGGCGTCTCAAGACCCTTCTGAAGGAGCAGGAATTGATCATCAAATTCTCAGCAGCTCGCAACGCCCAACC